CCCCCACCCCACCCTCTTGTCATTGTATGCAATCCAAAGTTTTTGTCTTTTCACTTCTTGTCTTTCTTTATAATTCTACCGTAATCACCGCCATTTTCAGCGGGAAAGTTCTGCTTAATTCCCATGTTCCAATCTTTTTTTAACCCTTCACTTTATTAACGATGTGGAGTTGTGTCATCACGTTGGAGAGTAGCTTCAGGTACTACATTTTTTTTTCTTTTTTTAAGTTATTGAATCTTGTACTTTGTCTTTCTTATCTTGTTCTGCTGTTTAGGCTGTTGGGGTTTTGTCTGGGATGAAAAACAGTTGTTGGAATGAATTTGAGTTTAGTAATTTTTCGTGATTGAATTGCTTTAATTTTAGAGCAAGCAGGCTTTACGGTTTTTCAAGTACTAGGCTTGTTTGTGCAGGTGAGAGTGAGCTTTATAATCTGATGGAAAGTGGTGAAGTTCTTTGATCATAAGATATAACTAGAACTGCGAAATTTGAAGCTACTCGACGTACTAGCCTTATAACGGAGTTATCCGATAGTGTTTTCAAACTTAGGGGAGGATTTCGATCAAGTTGTTTCCGAGTTTGTTGTTTTGCTATTGTATTACCTGATTCTGATGGCTCAGCCTAATTCTAAGCCACCCATCAGCCATAATTTTGGTGGGGGAGCTTCTCATACAAGGTCTTTATCTCAACCGAGTATTTTCTCAAACAATGGCCTTCCCCCATTGAGCCCGTTTCCTCATAGTGAGTCATCTATGGCCTCAGCCAACTCTAGTTTGAAGGACACATCGATGGAGGAAGTTGATGTTAGTTCCCGAGGACCACCATTTGTCTCCTCTTCAACAAGGGAAAACACATTTCGATATAGTGATAGTCTTCCTCCTAAGAAAGGGCATCGTCGCTCTAATAGTGATGTTCCGTTGGGATTCTCAGCTATGATTCAGTCTTCACTGCAGTTGATGCCCATAAGTGGCCAGGGAGTTCTGGGTGGAGCAACGCTGCTTGGAGATCCCTTGCGAAGGAAATCAGGGGGAGAGGTAGTGGACAAGTTGTCTTCGTACATGAATCTGGAAAACATGGAGGCATTGAACTCTTCTATTACCGAGGATAAAGTCAAGGATAGCATTGCCAGTCGCACAAAGTTAAGCAGTGGCGACAGCAGCAATAACGAAGCAGAAAGTGTCTCGAAAGGAACTAGTATCAAGAGGAGTGCTGATGTAGATATTACTCCCACCACCCGACATTTTAGGAGTCTTTCAATGGATAGTGCTATTGGAAGTTTTCAATATGGTGAAGAGTCACCAAAATTAACAACTTCCCTGGTAAACTGTCCGGGGCAGCTTTCATCAAGTAAGTCTGGAAATGAAAACTCAGACAAGATCAATTTCGACTTAGGAAACAGTGAATTTAGTGAAGCTGAGATGAGAAAGATTATGGCTGATGAAAGACTGGCAGAGATTGTAGTTTCAGATTCTAAACGTGCCAAAAGGTATGGAGCTGAATTGCTGATTAATTCTTTTCTGTAATTGTAGCCCTCTTTAAATTCCCAGGTTAAATCATCTTCAAGAAAGGAAAAAGAGGGAATAATTTCACATACTTTTTTTGGAATCTGTAATTTCTTCTGCTCTCAGGATATTGGCCAATCGTCAGTCAGCAGCTCGATCCAAGGAACGTAAATTGCGCTATATTTCAGAGTTGGAATATAACGTTCAGACTCTTCAAACAGAAGCAACCACTTTGTCCACACAAGTGACCAGCCTACAGGTGCTTATTAAAAGCTTATAGGTCTCTTTGGTGCTTCTTTTGTGAACTTGGTTTTGTTTTGAGGTAATTGGATTTGTTATATCTCATTGCAGAAAGATTTTAATGAGCTTACAAGCTTGAACAATGAGCTGAGATTTCGCCTTCAAGCCATGGAACAACAAGCACAGCTCAGAGATGGTATGTTTCTTTCCTTATATTTTCTTCTGTTAGTCTTTAGATAAACTAGTTTGCACCCATATGCATTGCACTTTGCATGTAAGTTTTAACTGAAAGAAAAGATTTCTTGTTTTAATTCTTTAAGACAAAAAACTTTGGCAATATGTCAATTCAAAGATTCTTATTGCAGAAATCGAGAGAATGAATATTTTTTTTTTTGTACAGTTTTTATATCTTTTGTTTTTTTGGCTTTTCGTTATTCCAAAGTTGAAAATTTGAAGCTTTCCTATCCCTTGATTTTAAGATAGATAGTTTTGTTTTAATTGTTATTGATGTTGATGGTCGCAAATAGATTTGATGATCTTTCTGAAAATCATTAAAGATTTAATCAATTTTTGCAATTAAATAGCTTTTTCCAAGAACAGTTTACATACTATTAGATATTCATTTGTGCAAACATGGACTCTAAGAAATAAATCAGAAGGAATAGATGTTGCAAATTTACACAGTTTTAGGTGTTCATTGAGTGCAATTACAGGATTTCTTTTAGAAAGAAACTATTTCAATTACGGTTTACTTGATCTTTGGTTTCTTCTTCATTTCTTGTATTTATATCTTCTCTTATTGAATTCAAAAGTTTGGTGGCTATAATGCTCTAGCACAAGGTGACTTTAGAAGTTGCTGAAATAGACTATTCTCTGAAGTGTTCTGTTCTTGAAATTATGCAGTGTTTTATATGTTTATCTCCAATATGCTTTATATTTCTTGTTTTATTTATTTATTGAGTTTATCATACATATAAACAACTAAAATAATTGTGATCATAATTAAGTCAGCTGTATGAATACTCTCTATAAACTGTGCATAAGGTTTCAAATGTTTTAACTCAGAAAATATTGTCATTCTCTCTTCTTGACCCTTCTGGCAAGCCGTTTTGTTAGTTGGATTGATGTTCGCTAGCATTTCCTTCTCCCTAGCAGTTGTCATGTCCCACTATGTTAGTTCTAACGTGATTCCCTTGGCTGGTCAATAATCTGTCTTTCAATTAAGTTAGAGGTTTCGTAAGACTAAAACATCTAAGGGGTCGTTTGGTAGGGTGAGAATAGTGCGGAATAAGGTGTATTAGTAATGCATGTGTTAGTAATGCAAGCATTAGTTATGCAGTTATTATTTCTTATCTACTGTTTGGTATGATGTATTAAAATTATAATGTATTGCATAATTTTGAAGAAAAATAGTTGTTTACAAAAATGCCCTCCATACTCTCTAGCTTTAAGGGACTTTAAGAACAATTGTATCTTTAACCATACTAATGCATGCATTAATAACCTTGGTATTACTAATGCCATGGTTTTCTATGCATTACTTATATGTAGGATAATACCAAGTATGATGTACAACTAATACAAGTTATACACAAATTGAAAAAATGTACCAAACAAGATATTAGTAATGCATGGAGCTAATGCTTGCATTATATTTTCTAATATCTCCTACCAAACGACCCCTAAGTGTCACACTTATTCTACCAAAACCTAATGTGCAAGTGTAATGGCAATTACGCCTTAGTGTTCGTAGAGAAGAGAGATGATTAGCACCTCCCCTGACAGGGACGGGATCATCAGCTTTACCTATTACCTGAACAACATTACAACAATTAAGCCTTAATCCTAACTAGTTAGTATCGTCATTCATCTCTATGGATCCTTTGTTTCAATTGTGTTAGGTTTTAGCTAAGTCCGAATCAATTGCAAAATTATAGGTCCTAAATGGCTATGCAAAAAGTTATTTTAGGTCTAGCTCGGTCATTTACTACTTTCAATCACCATTATTTCACGCATACTGACTGGTGAATAAGGTCTATGTTTGGACATGACTGAATCATCAGTCATCTCGGGTCATAGTCTCGCACTTTGTCCTATATGTGTACTGCTTGCTCTCTTTATCAGTAGTGATCATTATTTATTTTTTGAATCTTGTATGCCCAGAGATCCATCTTAACCCTGCGGTTACTATGACATTCTGAAAGACTCTTTCAAAATGTATGTACTTGCTAAAACTCTATGATCCTTGGATCTGTGGTTGCCTTCAGTTGGTGGCTGCCTATAATAGGGATATTAATATCTTTTTGATACACACATCCACGAGGATGGAAACTATTAATTATGACGTTGCATTGCAGCTCTGCACGAGGCATTAACTGCAGAAGTCAAGCGTTTAAAGCTTACAATGGGGGAACTCAAGGAAGGACGGTTGCCTAATAGCATTGCGCGACAGATGCCCATGAAACCTAATATGTTCCAGAAGCAGCGTCAGCAGTCTAGTGAAATCCAACAATTTTCTGTTGCGAAACCAAACACTGCAACAAAGGCTTCAGCTACACCTGCATCAGCCTAGTTGGTCAAAACAAAGCACCGGGGTGGTGAGACAGTGCTAAAATGTGAGCTCTTGGATTACTTATATAAGTATTGGTCTCAAACGGTAAACAGTGCTAAAATGTGAGCTCTTGGATTTGTATTTACACAGCTTTGTATCCTTTTGGATAGTATTTATTCATTCACGTAATAGACATTGCACTGATTATAATGAAAAATAGAGTCGGACTTCAAGCCAATTTTCCTTTGATTTGTCGTCTGTTTCTAAGATATAGACCATTTGGTTTGATTTCTAAATTAGTCCAAGTTCTTAATTAGTGTTTTAACTATTTTTGCTTAAAATTAAACTTGCTACATCCCTAAAACTCAGTGCTTATAATTTTACATCTCTACATTTAAGCTTGTGGCCGAGGGTCCATCGGAAACAGTCTCTCTACTTTCTTTGGGCGGGGGTAAGGTCTGCGTACACACTACCCTCCCCAACCCATCTGTGAAATTTTATTGGTTTGTTGTTGTTGTTGTACATTTAAGCTTGTCGTAATCTAATATTATAAAAAAATAGTTTAGCATAGGCAAACTATCTATATCTATACTATATTAAAAGTACGAAGGCCCTTAGTGAAATGTCGTTCGCCTTTTTTACCCTTTAAAAATAGAGCTCATACTAAGACAAAATAGTCATTTTATTATTTTTTCTAAAATTTAGGAATCTAAAATCAACTAAAATTATTGTTATTAATTATTTCCTTATATAAACAATGTAAAAAATTCTAATATTTAGGACTTTAAAAAAATATAATTTAGTACTTACATAGTGTGCAAGCGTTTACATATTTAAGGAAAATTACTAACGAAGCATTAAAATACTAAACTTCTTTTTGAAAACTTTTGAGCAAATAAAATTTATTTCCTTAAGACTATGAGAACATAATATAGTTACGTAATATTTGACAAGTCAGTATATTATTTTATTCTATTTGATCTATTAAAGCAAATGCACAACTTATATATCGAAGTTATGTAAAGGCATTAGAATACCTTTGCAAAATATAATTATTTTCTTTATTAAGTTAGCTAAATTGGATCAATAGTCTTTATTGGGCTTTTATTTTATAACTCATCACATAGTTTAATAATTTTTGTGCAATTTTTTCAAATTTTATATTTGTTAATATAAAAAACACGCACTAGATAAAATAGTCATTTAATTCTTTTCCTAATATTTAGGACCTAGAAATTCATTAATATTTGGTTATTATATCTTTCTTTATTTAAACTAGATACCTAAAATTTAGGACTTTAAAATCAATTAAAATTTTACCTTAAATAAATATTTAAAAAGTCAATTTGGAACAGTAGTACAAAATCTAGAGATGCTCGTCTGAAGTCGGTTATACATGGCAAGTGACAAATGAAATCCTAATGGTACTCAAATTGTATTCACGGTAAACAAAATATTTTTTTAACATCAATAATTAATTTTTTTTTGTTGAAGAATTTACTTTATTTAGTATTTGCAATAAATTACATTAATGTATTTTAATTATGTGGTAAATAGTGTGAGACTAAATTGAAAACTACTAAATATATAGGAAAATAATGTTTCGGTTTTTATTTTATCTTCTTCAATCAATCTAGACTATTATAAAAGCTCGAAACTTTAACGCGAAATTGATCAAATTTTTTTCATTTAAAAATAAATTTTATATTTGACAAAATTATTGTTTAATTAATATTTTTAATAGTTAGGACATTGAAATTAACTAAAACTTTGACTATTAAATATTTTACTTATTTGAACTATATAGGAACTCTTAATATTTAGAAATGTCATCCCAGTAAGATTACTTAAATAAATTGAGTAAGTCCATTTTTCACAAGAACTCATAATTTTAGGATTTGTTATTTCACCCCGAACAATAATATTATAGGTGACATTAGAAGTGTTCTACTTTAAGATACCAAGAGACTAAAATTTAAAACAAATTGCACAAAAATCATACTCAGAAACTCACGATTATTTTCAGATTACTAAAATTTTAAAGATTTAAGGTTGATAATGTTAGAAATGTTAGCTATTTCAAGCTATTCTTTTTTAAGAAAATATTAATAAAATATTTTTCAAAAGTGTTGTCATAGAGTTTCGTAGTTTCTCACGGTGTTGATACGTGGCTACTGATATTATCCATCACTATTGAGCTAAAGGAAGTAACAATGTTTATTAGCATGTATAATCCCTTTATCATCATAATGATCGAATTTTTATAGAAAAGATGGCGTGAGAACCCAAATCTAACGAAAGTCCAAAGATCAACATTTATCTCTTTTGTGTGTGTGTGTGTGTAATTTTTATAAAATTTACATTCATTGATATGAGATACACGCACAACGCGCGTACTCTTAAACTAGTACTATATTAAAAGCATGAAGCCCTTTAGCGAAATGTCGTTCGCCTTTTTTACCCTTTAAAATAGATTTCACATTAGATAAAATAGTCATTTAATTAATTCCCTAATATTTAGAACTCTAAAATTGACTAAAATTTTGATTATTAAATCTCTCCTTATTTATGGTAGGTAAGAAGTCCTAAATATCAATTAGTATTTTACCATACATATATTTTTTCCTTGTTTAAACTCCATATATAACGTAACTATAATTATTTTCATATTACTTTTAGTGGATGTGAATTTTATAGGGAAAAAAAAGTAAACTAACGTGTGTCTTAATGAAATTAAAGTAATTAATAGATCATGCAACTTTATGCCTAATATTTAAAAGACCTTTAGGATTTTCTATAAGTAATATAACTTTTCCATGTTTAGTTCTTGTATAAGTTGTAAAAATATCAACTACGACATTTTGAAATAATACCAAGAAAACTTTATCATGAATAAAATGTGCAAATATACATGTAAAATAAAGGTTAATACTTTAAAAGATATCACTTTCTTGCACCTAATTATTTTTGTCAAATCTTTATCTTGGACTTGAAAGTCAATTAATATTTTAATTATCTTACGTAAATTATTTTTATTTGAATATTGTAACATAATTATAATTCCTTTCATGCTATTATATGTGAACTATAATAGTTCAATATTTGAACTACTCTTCTCTCCAAACAATATTTTTCTATTTAATAATTTTTTTATGTATAATATCTTTAAAAATTATGCTTAATAATTAAAATAAAATAATAAGATAATATTTAAAAATATAAAAGAGAGAGAGGGAGAGACTAGAAAAGTATTTGGTAACACTAATAGTTCTGCAAACACAAATATCTAAAAATAAAATATCAAATCGATTTTTTATCCCTTAATACAGAATTTATAGTAAATAAAATCATTATTACAGTTAAATATTTAAAATTTGGGTGAACTAATATTAATAATTTGAATCAATAAAAATAAATTATTTTTGTTAATGTTGAAAGCAAATAATTATGTTTTTGAATTAACTAATTAACAAAATAATTCTATCCAATTCCTTTCTAAATTCATCATATTAGTTAAAAAAAATCAAGTGAAAAAACTCTTAGGATACATAAACTTGTTTCAATAAAAAGAGCATTGGTGGTTAAAGCAATCAGAAAATAAAACGTAATCGGTGATGATATAGTATTAAGAGTTAATTAAAATAATTCAAACTTGAAGCAATAAGGATGAAATAATAGAAGATAATTTATTTGAGTTGTCATTAAGTTTTTTCTCTCATTTTGCATTTGTTACAACAAATGACACAGCTCACTATATCTTTTGAATTGTCGTTAGAGATTTTTTTATTTTTTTGTGATCTTGACCGTTAACACTCACTAGATTTCTCTTCAATCATGATAAATATTATGAGAGTTCTTCTTTTTTAAATGTTTTTATCGTGTTTGTATATTTTGGATATATTGAATACAATTACTATGTTAATGTAATAACATTAATTTTTAGTATTAAAAAATATTACATTTATTTTAGCGTAAACTATAATTTTTTAATAATTTATGCTTTATTTATTTAATTAATTATTTATTGATGAGTGCAAGGTACACGTGCAATGCATGTACAAAGAAACTAGTAAATTTTAAAATCAATAGACGTGGATATTGCTAATTGCATACTTGCATCATAGGTACCAATCTTATATAAAAGTGATGTTTTATTGTTATAATTTCTTACTATCCTTATATGAATCAACTCGAGGTTAATAGATGGTCGACTAGAATTATATGCGCCCCTGTTAAGTTTAGGACTCACTTAAAACAATTTACCTCAAAATTCTCCAGTAGACAGTAAATTGTTGGAAGGGAGTTGAGAAAAGTTCTTTAAATTTTTCTCACACAAGTTAACAATGTTGTTAAATCAGCTTAGTAATCACAACATAATAATTCTAATTTTATTTTACTTGATCCCACCACTGATAAGGAGTTCCAGAACCGGTGAATAAATGATGATGGGCACAAAATACCAACTATAATCAAGGGCAAAGATCCCTTTTAGTCCGCGATAAAAATTATTTACATCCAGTAATCATGTAAAAGTGTGTGTGTATATATATATATATTTATATTTTATCGACTATTTTAAGAGCGACTATACAATGTCATTTTACTTCTTATTTTATAATCAATCAAAACCTTCTATTTGATCCAAAATCAAATGGATTTTTGACTGTTTCCTTTATGTCTTATAGCAAGATAAACTATATCTGTCTATGGTGAAATTTATCTAAATTAATTATACTTGCATACAAGATAAACTATACTATTAATTTAGCTTTCGAATTTATTATACTTGCTTACCGACATATTCAAAGGGTGCATTACGAAATATCTTTTTCTCATTATTTCCTTTCTTAACTGGTCTCATTCACATTTCAACTATACAATGGACCTCTCAACAAAATTGAACCACCAACATTATCCTCAAATATTAAATTAGCCAACTCCCTTCAATTTAGGTTGCTATTTGATTGTGAAAAGATAATATAAAAAAAAAAAGTAACTAAGAAGCACAATAACATACATAAAAATTAAATTAGAAGTACCCTCTACGCAATATCTATCAGAAAAAAGAATGGCAAGTTACTAACATCTTGTTTGGATGGTTGTTAGACATCATTTCATAATGTATTATATTATATTATACTGTATCGTTTGATGAACACATTTTTTGTAACTTTGGATAGATTATATCGTTTGATGTTGTTTCATAATATCACGAACTAGCTATATGAAGAATAAACT